ACTCGATACTCACTGAAAAAGTAACCAGGTACGCTACTCGTTACTGCGATTCAAAAGGAACGCGCTACCTCGGCTTACATCTAACGCGTTATTTTCACATTACTCCTGTGTCATTTCTACGAAGCAGTAGCCACTTCCAGTATGTTTAGTTGTCAAGAATTTTTTTTAACGCGTTCATTAGGTAATAACTGTGGTTATACTTACATACCTTGCGCGCATCTTTTATATGGTCTATCTAGCGTTTTCTCGTTCAGCAAGTTAAAGGCGCCAGCTGGGGTGAGAACTAGACAGGGTACACATGCGGTGTGTACGATCCCCTCCAAACGTATAGCTAAATAGCTTTACTTGTTACTGCACGCACCGATCTTTTTTTTAGAGCGTGTTCTTGATGTTCGGATGAAAGGAAGCGTTTTTACTTCACGGCGGAAGTATTGGTGGTTAACAGAAGGACCCTGCCTCTGCGTGACAAGGTGAAGCATTTAGCAATGAGGCCATACAGGACTCCTGATTAGACTTCCGGCAGGGAGGCGAAGCAGTTGACTTCTCCGTGCTGTTGAGGAGTATGTTCATGCGCTGTGCGAAGTACTTCTAAGATCACGTTGTCGGATAAAAAAGAAACACGCTTCTTTTTGCATTTGAAGCGTGTATATCTCGGTGGATTGAGAAATAACTGGTCTTAAATACTCGTACAAATATCTCAGTTCGCCTCATACAGTGGAACGTGAGTAATGATCCGCGAGAAGCAGCACTCCTTTTTACTAGGACTCCTGAGGTCCATATTTGAGGGCGATGTTTAGAACGCATGCTCAGAACGAGCTCACGTTGGTAGGCTGCTAAGACCTACAATTTTGATGGTGCGGAATGCATGGGGCAAAAGAACTGTGGAAGCTCGCGTCAGCACGCGCTCAGCAGTCGCGCACACAGCTATGACAGCCTGAAGGGGAACTCCGGTATATTTTTTTCTTTTTTAGGGTTTCGATTGCAGTGATGTGATTGTTACTCCATTTTCGCTAAACTATGCCCTGCTAGATTCCGCTACATTTAGTCCAAAATGTGAAGAAACTTGGGCCAACATTGCGCCAAAATTTGATTTCACTTTATTAATACTGAAGATATAATGGCTCAGGCCCCACTACACGTCCGTATCGCTAGGGTAGGCCTGGGGGAATTTTCTGAACTTTTGATATTAGCCGCAAATAACGTGCTATCCTATCTGATCTCTCTGTCAGTGTCAAACACTCAGAGTACTCGGAATTTTCGCAATATCTCTTATGTTCTGGCGTGTGAGTCTTGCGTGTGAGATAGCTTTTGTTGAGTGCGCTTCTCCCCGTACTCTTGTCTACTGCAGTGAAGCGGCAACCGCAAAGCAGGCGTAGCAATTTTGCTTATCTTGCTTCGCCGCAGTGCACCCGAGTGCTAAGGGAAAAGCATTTCCTCGGAGTGGGACTGCTGCTGCGCTTGGCTGCTCCAAAAGGCGCTACGAAATGACTCGGGTCAATCCCATCACTCCGACTGTTTTTAGTAAAGGAAGCTTGTCCCTGAATTACGAAGCGCCATTTTTTTTAAATGTTTTGTGTAGTTTTGTAAATATCTTATATCAAAGTTTTGTTTCGGCGGTCTACGACAAAACCGATACTACCGGCTCGAGCATGAGGGTAACTCTTGTGACCAGCTGCATGTCCATCGTGCGATGCAAAGTTCGTATTGCGGTACCGCAAAACGTAGGACTGGCGTATAGTCGTAGGAGCAGTTCGGATCAGTGAGTTAAGATTCTGCGGCTGCTTTGCTGCTTTGTTTCGTAGATATAAAATATCCGTAGCAAATATTAATACAGATTCATAAAGTTGCCGGCCGAATAGCGAGTTTGCCACGATGAGCGCATGCTTAGAACGAGTACCAACCTATCTTCCGAGAAATACTTCAATACTGGTGGTGCACAATGAACTTTGCAGACGCGTTGTGGAAGCTAATCATAAGCTCGCGCTAAACAGAAACAGACAAAACTGCAGCCGCCAGTGAATGCCTCCTGCGGCACCACGTCGCGCTTGAGCGAGCAGGGAGAGAGTTTTAGTAGATCGTGCGCTATTGACGATGTGAGCGATCAAAACCGTCGCCGTGGTTGGCCTTTTGCGATTGGCGGAATACTGACTATGACGTCAGCAAAGGATTTCTTATTGACGGAAATAAGAGAAATGTAAGAGCTTCACTTTTGACGATGTTGTTTGGCAGTGTTGGTTTCAGAGTGCAATGATTTCAAGCTTCCACCATGCTCCTTACAAAGTTGTTCGCGAGGTAATGACATCACGAGAGGGACCCATAGGATGGTGCCACCGAAACATCTCGCCGCCAATGGAAAGCGGACCCAGGGAGCGCGTGCTCAATCCATGCTTCATACGAGGAAAGGCAGTGTGTGCACAGTGCACACTGTCTTTCGTATGATCTAATTAACAGTGTGATTGTGACTGAACAGCCAACTGGAGATATGCCGGTGAAAGCTCACGACAAACAGCCGAAGTGCTGAAGAGGTTTATTATACTGCCTGTACCACCTTTTCGTGGGTCATCCAACATTTCTGTACATCAGATTAAAAAAAAGAAGATTTTTAAAAAATATAATAATTTATATACAACAACTTTGGTTGGATAATCTTTCTATTACGGGGACTGTTCAAACTTAACTGGCATGGTTGAGTAGAACAAAGATCGTCAATACTTAGCTGGTGACCCGAAGTTTTTTTTTTTTTTTTTTTTTTTTTTTTTCACTTTTGTGTATTATAGTTTCGTTTCCGCAACTCGTTCAAAGACACATTCTATCGGTTAATGTCTCAACACAGAGACTATAGATAAAACGAGCAACAGAGACAAATAAAAAGGAAAAATAAAAGTTCATTCTTAAAAAGACCAAGCGTGCGCCATGGAATCGGGGTTGAAGAGAGGTCTTTGACGCTTACGACCGGCACAAGCAAGGTCGCCTGTTCCCCGTCCGCCTGCTACATTTCGCCTTCCCTTTTAGCGACGTCGAAACCAAATAAACAGACACGAACTAACGGCCGACAACGAGGAAGACATCCCGCGGTGAAACCAAACGAACCCCTACGTAACACTCTCGCTGAAAAAGGCGGCGCGGCCCAGTTTAGAGAGCAACCTGTTTTCGGGGGTAAAACATCCCCCGCGGTTAGGGTACGCCGTCTGCTCGAAATAGAAACGGACAGTTCGTGTGGTCGTCTGCGTTCCTCGTTGATATTAGCGAGCAAAGTCGGTTGTATACTTGCGTTTTCGGTCGCTTCGGGGCGCCCTCGTTTTCAATAGGCACTGGATTTTCCCCCGGATGACGTTACTACCCGTTTTTTATCAACTGACTGAACGCGTGTTTGTGGGATGTCGATGGTGGTAGCGATTGTAAAAGGGATGCGAGGCACATTTTCGTCTTATTTATATGGCGTGCAAGTTGATCTGCTCTTTGCGTACCTCGGGCGTTTGTTTACCCACAAAATGCGCCCACGTGGGTTTGTTTTCCCCCGACCTGAATCAATGACGGCGCGTGCTTGGCTGCCTCGTCACCGCTCATTCCCTGCGCGTTCTCTGTGTCACCTTTTAGTACACTTGCTCGCCGTATAGTCTATGGCAGCCCCAGGGCGTCCACTTACAGGAATTCGCTCATCTTTGAGACATTCTTGTGGTTTAATTCTACCGAAGGTTTTCATGCGATAGCCGTTTCTTGTCATTTTCTGTGTTGAAACACTCGCGCATTTCACCTAATTGTGTATGTGCATCGAGCGCTATAAGGATGGTCGCTCTGAGCAGATGGCGAGTCAAAAGTTGCTGTCAGCGTGCGCTGAGTAAAAATGGATTCAAGCGTGGGCACAGCGCTGTTCCAACGCTTTGAAATATTGCAGCCAGCAAGTGCCATCCATTCAAGCGCCCAACATGCGCACACGTTACTGAAATAGAATAACTAAATACTGTTGCTCGTTAACCACTCGAAAAGTAAGTAAGTACGTACGTTACTCGTTACTGCTATCCAAAAGGAACGCGTTACATCAGCTTGAACGTAACGAGTTTTCTGGTTACTCTGAATGTGTTGTTTTAATGAAGCAGTCGCTTCCGATATTTGTCGTGGTTAATATTTCTTCGCTTCTAACGCGTTCATTCTGTGATATACTGGAATATATTGCGCTACTGACATATCTTGCGCGGATATTTTCTGCTCCATCTAGCATTTTCTCGTCGTGCAAATTACTGGCGCCAGCTGGGGTGAGAACTGGATTGGGAACTTGCGTTGGGGCTCAGCTTCCCCTTCTGGAGTAACACTGTTACTCGTTGCTTCTCTTAAAAAGTATCTAGGTCGTGACTTCGTTACCGAAAAAGTAACTAAGTGCAAGTAATCCGTTCTTGTTCAAACACTTGCGATTGCTCACGACCGTGTGCCTTAAAGCTTCTTAAAATCTCTTACAACACACTGGCGCCATCTATCGGGTAGCCATGGTGGAATACTTGCAGTTTCCGCATATATCCTTTTTTGCAGGCGTCCGTCTTTTTTTTTTTTTTTTGGGGGGGGGGGGGGGGGGCTTGAAACACTTTTGACAATGTTGTAGTGATCATTTATCATAAATAGTATGTATAGACTTTTGAAAAAATCGCCTTCTGCACGCTGCCATCTTCGTCTGCTGGGCTGTGGAATACCTTCTGCGCATGCGTTGTTGCTTTGCCATGCGGTACATCGGACGCTGCGCATGCGTTCACAGCTCAGTGACTCAGCATTTCGCACCCGAGTGATAAGCGATGCAAAGGTCTATACATTTGATCCCGGAAATACCGCAGTTCCAGGACCACCTCGTAGATGGCGCCAGCGTGCCAGTGTGTTCTCTCGTAGCAAGAAATCACAGTAGCGCGGTCGATAGCAGACGGCACGTGAACGGACCTTTACTCGTAACGCGACAGGGGCAAGCCTGATGAATACCCTCCGCCGCCACAGTGGAAGATTTTCTTGCGTGCCCTCAGGAGAACAACGAGGCCGTGGCGTACGAAGTGAAGCAGGAGAGCGGCTCGGCGGTGTCGTACCAGTGCGACGTGTCCGACGAGGCCCAGGTGCGTCTTCTGGCACGCAAGGTGGCCCAGGACGTGGGGCCCGTGGCCGTGCTCGTCAACAACGCCGCCGTCACCAACTGCCAGCCCGTGCTCACGCTGCAGCCGGACCAGATACGTAGGACGCTCGACGTCAACCTCCTCTCCCACTTCTGGGTAGGTGGACTTGCATCACTTCCTCCATTTCACGTCGAGTCAGACCGCAGCCCACGCTCTGATGGAGCCAATCAATCTGCGCCAAATGGATACATCGTCATGGCGCTCTTTGTGCCTATGCTATCAAAACTAATCACGCATAGTGAAGGCGCCGTGATCCCCTTTTTTGCGCGTGATTGGTCCAGCGGGTGATATGATGCCCTTGTTGTTGTTGTTTCTTGAAAATAGTTTGGACCGTCTTTGGCGTGTTTCCGAATTTCGTGCGATTTACGGTTGGTGTTTCGTACGTATCAAAGATACGAAATAAACGAGGAAAAAAAAAGTGAATGTGCTTTCAGCCGTTTACTGTTTCCATGGATCTCCCCTACCATTACCCCATATGTGGGGGCACCTTCCAGATGATCCAGGAGTTCCTGCCAGGGATGCTGGCCCAGAAGGAAGGACACATCGTGGCCGTCTCATCCATCGCCGGCTTCATCGGCACCGGCTACCTCACGGACTACTGGTGCGTGACTCATCAGCGCTGATTTCGATTTCATCCGCTCACCGAATACATAACCTGCCGTTTTGCCCCCCCCCCCCCCCCCCCCCTTCCCTTCCCCATTCCCATTTTGCGGCATGCGCGCCGGTGGAACGCTACCTCCGATTTTGTGCACCTTGGGAATTTTAATAACATATTTTTTTTTAAGAATGCGTTTGTTTGAAGCTTCAAAATGATTGCCAATGCTTCCTTGAGAGTCCTTAGAAACGAAAACATGGCCGTTCATTTGCTGGGGTACCTCTCCAGGATTATGGCGTGGCCGTGACCACCGGCAACGGAGGCAGCTGTGAGGCTAAACTGCTTGTCTTCTTTGATTCTTAAGGCCTGTTCACACATACAGCGGAGCGCTAAGTTAGCGCTACGTGAGCGTTCCGAGGAGCGCTCATGTGGCGCTTCCAGCGCGTGACTTCGTTCTAATATAGCGCGTGGTTAGCGCTTTAGTAGCGCCTTGTTAGCGCTCCAGTAGCGCCTTGTTAGCGCTTCAGTAGCGCCGTGTTAGCGCTCCAGTAGCGCCTTGTTAGCGCTTCAGTAGCGCCGTGTTAGCGCGTCATTAGCGCTTCTTGTACCGCGGTGCTGCGGATTAGCAGGTGCACTGCGGTTTTGGTTCCTGTGGTTGGGTGTGCATCAGCAGCACCATGGCGGACATGTGGGATGCTCAAATAGAAATGCGACAAATGCTCTTACATACGCGATTAGTGCATTTGTGTGAGGACGTCTTAACGCTCAAAAGAGCCTTCTGGGTGCGCGAAATCTTTCGCCACCGAGATACCGACGGGTCCCCGGCGATCCTTGTTCCTAGGCTGAGGGACCGAGACACAGAGCTCTTTCGAAGGCAATCATGTTTACCTGCGTGTCCTTGAAACCAGCGTCACACATATCGAATCGAAAGATATGAGGTCGTACCCAATCAATTAGTCGCTCAGAGTCCATGACTCTGGGTCGCCTGCCCGACCCTCTGCTTAGAGAGCGGCTCTTTTACTTCCTCTTCTTTCAATGCCAAAGGAAAAACAACAACAAAGGAATCGTCGTGCACGCGCTATTCCGCAGCAGCAAGCACGGCACAAGGGGCGTGAGAGCGCTAACAGAGCGCTTCTGTAGCGCTAACAGAGCGCTTCTGTAGCGCTAATGGAGCGCTAACAAAGCGCTTCTGAAGCGCTAACAGAGCGCTACATCACGAGCCAGGAAGCGCCACATGAGCGCTCTTTGGAGCGCTCACGTAGCGCTAACTTAGCGCTCCGCTGTATGTGTGAGCCGGCCTTTAGCGTCCTAATCCTCTTTGGTGTCCTAACGAAGCTACATTGACTATTCGCAACTCCAGCGCGCCGCTCGCCCTCCCGCGGACGAACGGAGAACCAGAGGAGCGGGGACGGCGGCGCGGAAACGGTGGCAGGGACTATCGGCCTTGATGCGTGAAGCCGTTTTAACGACAAAAGTGAACGCGTTAAAAAAGGAATTTTTGTGCTCCGCCTTGCAACAGCCTTGCACGAAGGACCGGGATGTCTAATTTTATTAGGGACTTTTCGTGTATCGCATTTGCTGCGGATTTCTGGTCTTGTGCATGGCTGCCAGCTCAATCTGTACTCAACGTGACGAAAAACGCTCCCACTAATAATAAAGAACTCTATAGTACGGTCTACGGAAAGTCTATTCTTTACCATAAGTAGGAGAAAACTCGTCGCGCAACGGTATGTCGAGCAATGCAAATCGGGAAAGGGTTCGCGTTTTAAGGCCGTTACAAGGAACATGACCATTTATTCTAAGCACTTCAAAAAGACAGAATACCCGTACTTGCTTTCAGGTGATTACAAAGCAAATAAAGAAAGGCTAGAAGCATTTTAAGCGGTTCTGTGTTAGCCAGCCGTTTGTGACGAGAGCTTAGAACGCGCAGTTTTGGGCAGAGGGACCGCAATGTTGCAAATAACGTGGTGCAAAAAATGTACGGTATGTTAAAATATTTATTTTTGATAAAGCGATAAATAAAACCCCTAAACACGCCGGTTATGTTAATAGGCAGTTTTTGCAGAGCGTACGACACCCCTAAACTTCCTTTGGACGTACAGCGCACTGACGTTCAACCAGTGCTACCAACTTTCAATAGCGACTTGCTAGCCGAGTTGTGCAACTTTTTAAAATAACCCAAGTGTGAATGACTGTAAAAGAAGAAGAATAATCGGGGGTTTCTTGGCCCTACTGCAAAACCTCGTTTTTTTTTTCGGTACTCTTTGATGTGTACTTTAGCAGTTTAATATCTTATAATGCACCGTCATCAAGCCTCTGGTAAAAGTTGGGGCCGTCAGTTTGACGTCGATGGGCTGCACGGCGAACTGAAGTTGTGGAGTGTCGTATATGTGCCAAAAAGTGTAAAAACTACATTTTTTTTTTTTTTTTTTTTTTTTTTTTAGAGGGATGAGCACGGCAACGCTCCTGGCGCGCACTGAAAATTGTGCTTCAAAGGCACAGCGCGAGCTTGCGGTTGTAATGCTACACCGCACGGTAGCCTGCGGTAAAAAAACTTTCTATCAATAACCATAGAGCAGTTTGATTACGTGTTGCAATACACTAACACCGAGACGGCGAGCAGCGAGTTGTGAGCCTGTGACGCGAAGACACCAATACTGTGAACGCTGCTCTTCCGAAGCTTGACGGTCAGCGTTCTCGGCTCTTCTTTTAGAGCACTAATGGCCAGGCAAAGCCGGAAACATACCCTCATCGCCCTCAAAAATATTCTGCCACAAACAGCAACCTGGCCGGTGCCTAAAACGCGCTCGCTCACCCCAAAGCTTCGCAATTTGAGGTTTCAGCAACTTTTAAATAACAGCGTGCTCGTTTTCTTAACGTGCATCAGCATCTACGTCACCTATAATATGATCCCTTCATAACCGCTTCGCGTTTGTAGACCAATAAATAATTTTTAGCGCGCTGAACAGCGTCAGCGCGAGCAGGCGCGCGGGATATCCTGGAGAATCTATCCCCGTCTCTTCCGCCATCTTGGAACTACCGCCCCGCCACCTATAGGGCGTTGGAGTTGCGAATAGTCCGTTGCAACCTAAGAACGAAGGGCGAGGGTAAGACGGGCCGGGTAGGAGGAAGCAGACGGAACGCTGGAGAAGAGAGAGGGAAACCTCCTTCTTTCTTTAGCGTTCCGCCTGCTTCCTCCTCCCCGGCCCGTCTTACCCTCGCCCTTCGTTCTTAGGTTGCAACGGACTATAGGTTTTCCTACTTTCCACTCACGCATGTTTCTGGTTACTAGAAAAGACTCAACATTTCTAATATATTATGAAGTGCATCGATGCTCTTATGGTGGGAAATGTCAACTGGCTGGGCGTTTTGTAGGTGTGTTTTTGAAGGGAGTTGAGTTCAGATAGGCTGTGAAGTGAATGGGTTTCCTGCTTAAGCTTCCTTACCAATGACCATTCTCTGACCCCAGTGCGTCCAAGTTCGCAGTACGGGGCTTGATGCACGCCTTGGAAGAAGAGCTGTTCCAACTCGGCCTCTTGGACAAGATCAAGCTGACCACGGTCTACCCGGTGGCCATCAACACTGGCATGTTCAAGGAACCCAAATCCAGGTCTGTGTCAGAGTCCTTCAAAAACGAAAATTCAGAATGCAGGCCTGAGCGACTTGTGCTCGACATAATATATGACGAAGCCTCCCTGATTCTGATAATAGACTTTTCCGGAGAATCCCAGAAGACGAACGGCAATCCCATATTTCACCGCGTGACGCAAGGAACTGCGGGCCTGTTCAGAAGCACGTTCGGGCTGACTCGTATGCTTCGTACATTCTGGAAGCAGCACGACCTATTCCCTCCTGCCTTTGTGAGTTCAGAACACAGATAACCTAGAACGAACGCAAAATTAAATTGGCACGTAATCGGTATTCTTGTTACAATGCTTCTTTGAGTTTTGAAATCACGATTTAAACGAACATTAACTACTATTTGGAGTTATCGGTACTATTTTATGTGCCGTACATCAGATCGTCATCGAGAAGATAGGGAGGGAACAACAAATGTCCGGAATGGTTTCTTGGTAAACGCGCTTGGACTGTCCGGCTTATCCTTCTCTTTGACTGAGAGCCGAAGCTATAATAATATTACAATGCTTTATTTGCATCATGCCCCAGAACAACCAATAGGTCATAGTGTGGTGGCACATAAAAAGGTAGCACACAAATTTAACGCAATATCTCCTACTGGCGAAAAACATGTAAATCAGGAATTAAGAAAACGTGTAAATTCAGCTCTCTTTTAAATCCTAAATTATTTGAAAAACTATCAACATGACAGGGCAGTTCATTGCTACACATCTGCACCCTTACCAATGGTGACAATTTCGATTGAATGGAGGGGTCAATAAGCTCAGTCATCTAATAAGTCGAGCTGGTACATGAAATTTTAATGATGACAGTCACTATTTATACGGCCGTGTACAACCTTATGTAAAAATAGAACGTCGTGGGCTTCTCTTTTCTTTTTTTTTTTTTGTTAAACAAGTTCTGCAACAAGTTTTTTTTTTTTTTTAAGAATGCATTCGTAGTCGTAAAAACATATCCTCCCAAAGTACCTGTCATACACAATAAAAATAACTCGTTTATGCACCCTTTCAATTTGCGCCGCATCAGCTGCAGTGAGCGAGTTCCACGCAACACTACAGAACTCCAGTCTAACCATAACCAAGGAGCAAAACAAAAGCACCACGCACCAAAGATTTGAAAAGTCCCTCGTAAGGCGTGATATCATTCTCATCACTCCAAGAGCAGCGACAACATTTTGGCTAAGAGGATGTGAAAAAGAAAGTTTGTTGTCGAATGCATTCCGAGGTCACGGACTTGAAAGAAGACACTTTGGATAGCGAAATTTCCAGCTAGGTACGAATAATAAATAATGTCCCGTTTTTCACACATGATAAGTAGTTTTGTTTTATCAGGGTTGATAAGTAAAACGGTGTCAGAACACCCGTTTAAAACAACTAAAAATCATTCTGTAAAAAAAAAAAAAAAAAAAAAAAAAAAACACAGTCATTCTTCGAATGAATTCTTATGAAGATCTTGATATCGTCAGCGAATAAAGGCGTCTGTGCGTTCTTTACGCACAGTGTAATATCGCTAATAAATGCAAGAAACAGATGCGGCCCTCAGTGTGATCCCTGCAGAACACCGGAACTAGGCACAAGAACATCTGACAAACAACTGGAGACACGTATACTATTTTATCATTCAGAAAGATAGCTACTAAACCGCTCTGAAAGTGTCGAAGATACACCATTTAATGAGAGCTTGCCTTATACAATAACAATTTTTTTTATTTTTTCTACAATAACAATTTTTTTATCCTACAATAACAATTTTTTTATCCAGTAGGAACAAAAATTCGTTTTTACAGATCGACCCTTTACAAATCCGTGCTGAACAGTGGCTAGTTTACGACTGAGGTTGAAAAGAAACACTGGCATGTAAAACTATCTCGGAAACATTTGAAGAAACACGTGACAAAGACACAGGGCTATAGTTCTCTGCCTCACTCGTGTCACCGGATTTCCGTACAGTCTCTACAACTGAGTGTTCGGCTACCATTGTTTTCATTTTTCTTAAAGGCCATCAGCCTTTAAGCTCCATACGGGACTTGAACTTTGTTGAGCAGGGGGCTTCACGAAAGGAGCCACGTCACACGTTACAGGCACATGCGGGAATATTGCGAACGGCTCGTAGCCTTGAATTTCAGTAAGATAGAATGAGTGAACTAAGTACAAAGTTTCAATCTCTCTTTGGCCTGGTCAGACATGCTTTCCGCTTTTGCTCTTTTTTATTTTTTTTATTTTATTCGAAAATGCAACTTTCTGGGTTTGTGTCAGGAAGCTCAACCTAAAACCGACCGAGCGGGCAAAAAAAAAAAAAAAAATAGATATATATGAACAAAAAGTAAGGGCGCAAACGAGCTGGTGTACATTGCACATGGTTGAATATATATATGAATATATATAAATATAAATAAATAAATAAAAATAAAAGCAACAAAGTAAACATCGATTTTAAGACTGTTTAACCATAATGGCGTGAAACTTGCAGGTTTTTGCTATTTCTATGTTCTCTAGGTTACACATAGTTGTCAGTCTTAACTAAACAGTATGCAACTTATACTAAAAAGTACCAATCGCTTTTGAAATAGTATCTAAAGAATGCTTTTAGGTGCTAGCTATCCTAGCACAATCACTCGATGTGCCTATGTTGTTTGGTGGTATTGTGAACAGTCGTTCGTAGACCTTGGCAAGTGATAGCGAATGGATCGACACTACATGCCTCGCGCAGGTTCCCCTTCCTTGCGCCCATCCTGGAGACGAAGGACGTGGCTCAAAAGACGCTGGAGGCCGTGCTCAGGGAGGACAAGGAAGTGGTCATTCCTCATCATCTCATGCTCATGCACAGGTTCATGTTGTGAGTGAAGCCCTAACCTTAAAAAGGGGTACGGAACCTGAAGGACGTGAGCGCGAGCTCTCTACCCCTGTTTTTAAGGTCGGCCAGCAAGAAGTGCCATGCGTATCGCGCTCTTGACGTCACTAGTTCATGCACGGCCAACGGTATTGTAGTTGCCAGCCTTGCCGCTTGGTGGCGTCAACGCATGAAAATCTCGCCTAGTAGTAATCTCCGAGAACTGTACGCCCTAGAGCCACAAAATGAGCTACGCTTAGAGTATCGGCACTCTGTTCTCTGATATTATTGTGGGCGCCGCCATCTTGGTGCTTGTGCAGAGCAGACGCAAATGTCGGTCGTCTTGATTCGAAAGTGCGACTTCCTCAGCATTAGATACGGTATTAGGAAGCTAATATAATATTGCTTCGCTCTGTCGTGAACTATTTAAACGTTTGTGGAGGACGGAAAAGCCTTTGCTGTGATTGCAGATAACGCTTCAGATAACTGGCAATTATGATTTTAAGCCACAAGATGGGTAAGTGCCGTTACTCTGAAGTGTAACTTGTTTAGTGGCACTAGTACGCCCCATGGCCTATACATAGCTTGCTCCTAACGTCATTCGCGGCCACGCCGGTATTTTATGTGCCGAGCGTTCGGTTCACCGTGTCAGTTTTACGCCGCAGAAAAAAGTATCTCGAGGTATGATTAACCATCAATACCTAGCAATGGGGACACCTGCAAGCTATGTATAAAAGGCATCCGCTTCGTGCCATTTGTGAGCGCGCTATTCACAACGCATCCCGTGGGGGAAGGATATGGTTGGCCCTGGCAGAGGTCCCATTCATCCTTTCATCCTCAGATCAAGCTCCCACCTATTGTCTGCAAAGAACGGCGATATTGATTTTGTGGAATGCACGTTGTAGATGTACTGTAGAAGCTTTAACCTATACAACGTAGTAAACGCGTTATCGTTCTCCGCCAAGTCACATTCAGAACTAATGGCGAATTCCACTGGTCGTTTTGGAGCGCGCCGGGATCGACTTTTCTGGAGCGAGCCTATTTCACTGGGCGATCGGGATCGAGACCGACGTGTTTCACTGGTCGTTTTGGATTAGCTCCCGCTCCAGGTCTCGATCTGGATCCTAGAAAAGTCGCTCCCACGATTTCGGCGGATTCAACCGGAAGCCAGCCGGGCCAGCCCTCGGCGTGCACACGTGACTTCCTTTCTCGTGGGGCATCTCGCCTGATCTCGCCCATCTCGCCTCAGAAGAAGCACGTCGCGGGCTGGGCTCCTAGATTGTCTCGACATCAGAAGAATTCGTAATGGCCGCTTGCTTACCCCTTGGCTCGACAGCCGGTCCGTTTTCCAGGAAGGAGAAGAGAAGGTATTTGCCGCGCTACGGGCATTCGGGCAATCTTTGATGGAAGCGCCTGAGCCATTCCTGCCGCTCGTGCGTCGAACACGTGTTAGCGCCGCGATTGTGAAAACGTCTTCGAAACGACCGCGGCGGCCGTGGAAAGGGGATTCCTGGGCAGTTGAATGACGGGAAGGCATCCGCCGATCCCGGAGCAGTGGTCATGTTCCACTGGGGATCCGTAGGCGGCGCGACCCCGTTCGGATCGTCTGCTCCAGTCCGGACCTGGTCAACTGATCCCGGCACGCTCCAAAACGCCCTGTGGAATTCGCCATAAGTAACTCCACGAGCAAGCCATACTGCCCTGACCTGGCGCTGCTGCTTTGGAACTCATGCCGTGGCGGCATTCCAACGAAGCTTCACAGACCGCCACCAGACGCAATTTTGAAAAATGTTCATTTGTTTTAAAATTAGTTTTCTCGACTTCTCTGCCGGCAGCCCAGAAACACTGGTCAAGGCTAGTGTTTCTGGCTTGCCGGCACGACATAGACCACATCTAAACTAAGCAATAAGTGTAGACATTTCGTTTTCGTGCCCCTTTCTGCTTCATACAAAAGACAGTCTGCAGACAGATTCAAACGCGAGTCACCACGATCGAGATCCGTGCTTCGAATGCCGCATGGCAACGAGTTCAAGGAGAAACTTGGCACGCGGCATTCGAACAAAGAATGTCGTCTGCACATGATGTCTGCAGATCGTCTTTTGTGTTATGTGTAAGCAATGTAACCCCGGCTACTAATACATTATACGAAATACAGTTTGCAGATACTGGCTGAGGCGCGTTATATAACGGCTTATGATAAGGATCAGGGTGATTCTATCGATTACTTCTATCAGTCGAGCGGGTGCTCAACGAGTTATATTCGTTCGCTAAAGATAGGAAGCGAAGGCATCAGCAGGGCGTCCACTTTAATACCAAACAGAAAAAAAGGGGAATAAATTTGCACTGAACAATATCGACAAGAATCCTATACGATACCACGGCGAACATATAAGATTGGATGAGGACTGGGTTATAGAACACCGCGCGCGGTTTATGGTACGTGCACTCGTACACCATTCCTATTCGGGTCACCAGTTCAAAACGGTCTTGATTACATTTTTAGAATCCAGGTTTTCTTTATTCAGTCAATCAATTCGAGTCAATTAAGCTTTTTTGTTTTTTTGAGGATGAAGGGGTGACAAGAAGCTTGGAGTGGTCCTTGTTCTGAACTAGTTCTTGGTCCGAACTGGTCCTTGGTCCGAACTAGTTGTCTCCCAGAGGCACGAAGGACGTAGAAGTGTTTTGCAAGTGATGTGCAATTGTAGCGCGTGCATACGGAGGTGAACGGGAGATTTTTCGCGGTACTGATTCGAGACTCTGGGTCATTTCGCAGTTTGTTCCCGCCAAAGGCGATGAAGCTGATGCAACGGTTCATGGGCTGCACGGTCGAACCCCATCGACTCACTGGAAAGTCGGCCCATTCCTTCTCCTGAACCGCTTGCAGCCATCGAGTCCGCGGTGCTGCTTCAAGGAGAGCGAAGAATGATCTTCACACGTGTACGGAGGCTGCCGGCACCAAAACAGAGTTTATGTACATATATAGATATATACATAGTATATACATATATATATGAAGAGAGAAAGCATCCGATATGCGCCAGTGACTTAGAAAGATAGCCCCAATTCATCGTGAATTGCTTTCATATAGACCTTTTTCATTTTTAGTCTTCGAGGCTTCCAGAAACAGCGGTATATTTGTGCCTCGCTGTCGTTGCCATGACGCGCAGACTTGATTTGGAAGAAAGAACGCAAGAGAAAAACAACGAAATAGGGATTCGGTCCTTTCACTTTCTACCGCGGGCTATAGGAAAAGTCATAGGCCACGGATCTGCCATCATGTTTGAGTCTTTCAGCTTGGGGGGGTGATAATCCGCTTGCCAGGGGAATGACAGCGACCCACGACGTTCAACTGAGCGTCTTGTATTACTCGAGCCGGGTGGTTCTTGCAGGGGTTCCACAGCGAGTTCCGGCATGCAGTTCGCGTCGCACCAGAAGGCTCTCCGGGTTGCATATATAGCTATAGTTTTTGATAAGGCGAGAACGGCAGGGAGGTGATGTCCCGATATCTTCGACAACGCTTCAAAGCCTCGTGCACGTCGAGCGCGCGCGCGCAGCCAAAGCCCGGAGGGAAGTGCGTGCTGGAGGCCGTCCTCGTTCTGTCAGAACTGCTGCACGTTTAAAAGGCCTTCAAGCTTAAAATTATCTAAATCTGCGCTAGATGGCAGGCAGAAATAAATGAGACATTCAAGCCGAGTTCTCGGTGAAAACATCTGGCCTTTGCCCAACAAGATGTCGATATGTATATTTAGCTGCTTCCCTTTGGGGATCAGATATGGCCACATGGCAGACGCGGCGGAATCTGAAATGGAGATGTTTTGGTGGTACCCAAACGTTATCTGGGTGCTGTCACGTCCTAGACGCTGGGGCGTCTGTCTGATGGTGACCAGAGCCCGATTCGTCCCAGTCAAAACCGGGGTTGGTCTTCGAGCTTAGTGATGACTTGGCTGTGCTCTCACCACAGTCACGCTTATTATAGGTCATTAAGGAAGGTTTTGTCCTTCCTACAGGGGCATCGTAGTGTCACGTATCACGCTTAGCTCTAACAGAGGGCGTTGGCAGTTGGGGTTACACGGTTCGCTGAAACAAGAGCGACTTCAGTAGCCATTTTTAACGCTTATTATTCGTGACCAAACTGAGGCCATATTTTATTAATACCGAGAGGGTATCACTATCGGTCGTTTCAAAAGTACTATTGCACTTTCGCATTGTCTTGTACACGCTAACACCTATCGGTGATCTATCATTCCTGATTCTGTTGGGGAAACAATGAGTCTCACGTTCCAAGTTCGCAACCGGACACGATGAAAGTGTTCTACTGCTGTTTATAAATAGTGTCTATTGCGATGGCATACCTTGTTACGTGCATACAAGATTTTATGTTACACGGTCTATGGTAGCGTATTGTGGTTCATGACATATGTGCCATTCCTTATTACCACAGCGAGAGGACCACGTTGTCGTTTCAGAGTGAGAAACGTACGTTCATCATTACTGATTTCACAAAGAGCAATATGACAACTGCGTATCTTGAACAAGGATATCTTTTGGTGTCAGAAAACAAATTGAACTGTCTGAAATACCCACAGTGAGATTCAAACCGATTTTCGAGAAAGGCAACTCAACATTCAAGTTCTGACTTGAGGCCGCAAAATATATTGCAATAACTATTCAGTACGTGTTCAGATGTCTTATCTTCACAAGGCATCTTTCAAAGTGTGTTTAAGTAACGCGTACGAGTAACCTCACAGAACTATGCAATTTTAGCGGTGTTCCAAGGCGTTGCTTCATATTGTACATAGATATTTTTATACGATTACCACCAAAGGCTACAAGGTTAAGGAGAAAGGATTTCTCAACCCAACAAAAACTGAATATAAGTCCTTAGTATAGTCCTACACTTCAGGCTATGAACGAAATTGGAATACAGAAGTAATGGGGCGTATTTTCTATGCATCATGTTTTATTGGAGTTAAATATATGTGCGCTCATTTGCCGGTATTCGTTACTTCATAAATTTACACACAACAAAAAGAAAAGAAAAAGTTGTTCCTGTTTCTTTCTCAACGGGAGCAGGTGTACTGTTACGGCATGCATCTTTGACGATTAAAGTATATGATTAAAGCACTTCGAAACATTCAAATGTCTTTTTGTTCTCTTAGTCTCGACCTTTATTGTCTATAACAAAACCTGGATCGTCTAATCTGTGGCATGAGGGCGTTTAATCTATGAAGGTGCACACCAAATGTGCGCCAACACTGCTTATACTGTTCAAGCCAACTGGCAATCAGGTGCAGTGCTCACTTAATGCCCCTTGCCTTAAAAAGGTTGCTTAGATTTTAAGAAGTATTTGCATGTACACTCTCCACTGTGGTGCAGCTCTTTTTTCAAGCAATTTTTCATTAGATGGACTGTATCGCATGTTTGCCGCTCAGACCAGATCCATCATTGAGGCGCGATGCCACTAACCACTTCCACTGGCTAAGCAGATCAAAAGAGGACCAATGATTGACTTTTTGCGCTTCGCGAAAAAGTATTAGCGCCGAGAAGTTTCGGTGGCACCCCCTGATGGTTTCCACTCCCGACGTCACGACCAGGATTTGCCTCGCCGCGATTTGAAGGATTGGTCTCTGCCTCGACGTGATTGGCAGGATTTGCCTCGCCGCGATTGGCAGCATTGGCCTCTGCCTCGACGTGATTGGCAGGATCTTCCTCGCCGTGAACCGACGATTAGGCCGGCATTATCAGTGTCCAGGAAGCTATAGGATTCGGCCAATGCCGAACTTCGACCAGAGCGACACTTTTGGTGGCGCACGTCGCTAATACACTAGGGTGTGGCACACTCTAAGAAAAGCCGTGCGTCTGCTTTCCCGCAGAACACTCGGAGAGTCAATCACCGCAACTTACGGAGGCAGCTCAGCGAATGACAAGGCCGAAACATATGTTTAGACCAAAAAGCGCAGTCTGAGTTGTGACATTGAGCAATGCAATCGTGACGTTTTGCATTGCTTAATGTCACAACTCAGACTGCGTTTTTTGGTCTAAACAGATGTTCCGGCATCGTCATTCGCTGACCTGCCTCCGTAAGTTGCGGTGATTAGCTCTTCGAGTGTTGTGCATGGAAGTAGACGCACAAACCTTTTTTTAGAGTGCATGAGAGGGCACCCAAGTCACAGCAAATGCACCTTTTTTACTTGTTTAGTCATCTTCGCAGCGGCGTGGCGAGTACCGAACATGTTATCCTCATAACACGCTGGGATCCTCCTGTACCTCACCGTGATTGGTTGCCTCTGTGTTCTGAGGGAAAGCGAACTCACAGGGGTTGCTTTTAGAGTGGGCTGGCCACCGGACCCCCGAATAAAACACACTGTCGCCGCAAGTTTCACGATCCATCTGGTGGCGGTTGCTAAGCCTCTATCGCTGACCCGCACGTGAAGTGGAATGGCTCCACAACATCTCCTTTAGGTTTAGCGAGGGAGCGTGACACGCCACACACACCAACTAATCACGTGATAACTCCAGATGACGCGCCGCAGCAGAGACCGAAAGAACACTGCTATCTGCACAGCGGCCCCGCCTTCGCCTTAGTCTATTGTTAGTCCGATAGCTCAGCGAACTTCCCCGAGTCTCGACCGACGTAAGATTGCAGCCCAAGCTCAAGAGTACAAAAAAAAAAAAAAAAATTCGGCATTGAAAAAAAATGCGGAAACAAAGGAGAACGATAAATCAAAGTGACAGGTGAATGGATATCTACACACCGAATGTTTGCTCTCGATGCCACATGAGAATCTTCGCGCATTCCAAGCGCTCGACTTGCATAAGCGATGGTTGCGCAGATCGCGAAGCGCCAACCGCTGATTTTTATGACCTGCACCTCTAAGTGAAACTTCTAACGCTGCCACACAAGCCAACTGTTTACTGTTCACGAAGTCTACTGGGTGGATATTGTTAATAATTGGACCGTTTTCGCCCTGGGAATGGATGTCCTTTGCAGTTCGACGGAGGAGACGGTTATGGGAGTACAAGGTAAGCCTCTCTCTCCCTCTCTCACACATACACAAAGGCACACAGACAGATACACACATATGCACAACCCTGGTGAGAAACCGACGTACAGCCTATCCCCCTATAGGTCAACTTCAGTCTTGTTTCAGTGTCGTTCTGGAGATCAGATTCTGGGAGTGCTTGCAATTGCCGCAGCAAGCTGTGTGCGTCTACCTTCGTGCGATTGATAGATTTAGTGCCCGCCGTTTATAAGAAAACATGAGCTTTTTTGTATGTTTGCTCGAATCCTGAGTTTGCAAAATACAATTAAAGTAATATGCGCAGGGTCGCCCTTAGTTTCGGGTGTATTACCTTAGAAATTTGTCCTCACCACGAAGTGTTTAGTTTGACGCTTTTGGCCAGATGTACAGGCATGAACGCAAGCAGAATTTGCCTTGAACGTATTTCTTCTTTGTATATATTTTTCGCTTCGCTTTATTCCTTTATGTAACTCACACGAGATGGCAAACGCTTTTCTAGAGATTACCGCGTTCTCGTTGCTGCTGTTTTTGGGGTTCGTCGCCACCAACCTTGATCAGTTCCCTGAGACGGGCAAGGTCGGTACAAGGGCGGCTCTTATTTAAAGCGTGTTAAAAACGTTTATTTTTGAGAACATCTTGTCGATTGGAAGCCACGTCTCCGGCTCCTGAATACAGGAAAAGTAATTATTAGAAAATACGATCGGGCGGAACTGCAACGTTACTGTTAGCATAGTACATTTTATGTGCGACAGTCTCGATGATTCTCTCCTCAGTGAGAGTAAATCGAGGTAAGCTTGCTTTCTTAGCGAGGTAATTCTGGTGTCTAGCGCGTAACCTTAAACGTGGATGAATCTGAGTGCACGAATTTTTGTTGCCTCTATACTCGATACCACCGAATGTTGCCAGGGTGCTGAGACTGATAACGCATATTCGAATTGCGGTCTGACTAGTGTAATCTGTGCTAGCGGTTCTACCAATGACGGTGCCAGTTTTCGATGGCGTCGAAGGTAGACCGGTTTGCGCTGGACATGGTGTGCGTTATACGGCCAATTAAATAAGTTGCGCTTGAAGTATCCGCACTCCGTTCCCCGACTGTCTATCTGGCAGCGCCGTGTATCGCTAGAGCACAGGGCGGGTCTACTTGAGTAGTGTTGTTACGATTTAAAAAAAAACCAGTGATTTCGTGCACTCTAGGTGAAAAAGCTCGGCCGATGGCTCCTTAGTCTTTTAATATACGGACTCGTCACGTTTCCGGAGAACGGAAGAGCGTTCCCCGCGATTTTGAATAAAGGCACGGTAGCAATAATCTTCAGAGATTGCTCAAGTGCCGTTGCTTCGTAGCGTCGCTTAGTTTAGTGGCTTTATACTCCGTTTCTTCAAGTCCGATCATAACCGACGGTCCGATGGATCCAATCGAGCAAAGGATGAAAAAATAATGCATCATGACGGCGCTCCACCAACTAAACTTATCATGGCGCTGTTTTCTGTGCGTGATAGCCGGTGAACTCACACAAAGACAACGAGTGTTGTGACGCTGCACTTTTGGCGCTGCTTGGTTGGCTCCATGAAAGCGTCGGCTGCGGTCAGCGTTACTACAGGGTGAAACAAGGAGACGCCAGGCTCTTTAAATTGACCGGAAAATTCGGTTTCTTAACCTATCGCGCTACGACTTTGTTCAGCGTTGCCTACAGATGGTGCATTTGTTTTGTTTTTTTTTGTAAAATTTGCGAAGAGCGAACTTACCTGAGGAAAAAGTAAAGAAAGAAAAAGGCTTAGCTCCTATGGAAACGCAGCGACGCCACCGGTCTGCAAACAACACGGCGCCGTTTCGCACTCACTCACTTCAGTCCGCCTCCCGTCGTTCGAAGCTCCATCAAGATTTTCGTTCACGAACTGTGTGCGCCATAGAGTACGGTGGAGCGCCATCTAGACGCCGCGCTTCAAAACGTACGTATTCCATAGAATGCACTGCAGTTGCCATAGCAGCCGTGTGGCGCGTCGAACGACGGGAGGAGGGCCGTCGTGAGGGGGGGGGGGGGGGGGGGGGGGGGGGAGTTGGAGTTACTGCTCGTGCATGCAGCGTCTATGAGCAGTTACGTAACTGAGCTAATCTAATAACGTTGGCTGGTCGAACTTAGGGTGAAGCGGAGTAGAGAAGTTTCACAACAGGCTCCTAGATAAATGAATGCCAAGGTATTTACGAATCGAGCACTTACCAATGTGCTGTATATAAAAAAGGGCGCGCGCACATATAAAGAAAAGAACGAACAAAAACAAGTTGTTCCATAGAAGATAAAATTGTCATTTGCCAATTTTTGCACCAGTCATTCATAGTCAAGACCGGTTTGTAGAGACATCTGACCGTTTCGGCTATATATACATCTGGGTAAATCACGCACTCATCCGCGAACCGTCGAATGCAAGACGCGATATGATCGCGGAAGGTATTTACGAATATTAAAAAAAGGGAAGGGGTGCAAGAACACTGCCTCAGGGTGCATGAGACGTTATTCCGAATACGATTGGTTAAACATTCTGCAATTTAGAATGGGCGAAGGTACTGCCGAATGCTTTATCTAAATCAAGAAACAAGACCTGTATATTATTATGTAAGGTATTTTCCGAAGAAGCTGTGTCAGTTGTGTTTCACGAGGATGCGAATGTCGAAATTGATGCTCGTTCTAAAATTTTAAATATGCAGTCTCTATATGCTTCATTTCGTTCTTCACGGTATCATAGGCACAGTATTTCCTGTATCCCAATTCATACGCCGATGTTACGGATTTTCATTTGATAGATGTCGTTCATGGCCGGATTAGAACAGATTGTCGCGTTGTCGTTGCCGTCCTCAGTGGGTTCTGGCACGTACCTAAGCCTCACCGCTACAATATTTTGTGCTCAATCAGTTTGCGAGGAACACTAGTAAGAAAAGTGAAACAACAATAGACCTCAGGCAAAAGGAAAAGCGTCATCTAGTGTACTCATGATAAATTATCAGCTTCGCCCGGCAAGCTGAGAGTCGTAGATCACAAGTATGATCACGTGCTGCAAGTCCAGTACGAACCGTTCAGACAACGTCTTCGGTAAAGACCATTCACTGACCTGGGTCGCTAAACTC